TCCGCACCTGGAAATTCCCCGCTTTAGTCAGGTATTTGACGCCTTTAAACGGTTTGTACTTCTCTCCATTCATTTCAAGACGGCTCACCTTAAGGCCTGTACAGAGAAGAGAGAAGTATAGTGAGCAATGAGGACTCTAATCTTGGCCTCAATAAACCAATAAGAGGTCTGTTTACCTGATATGGCCACCTGCTGAATCTTCAGGTCAATGTTGAGTGAGGGGTTGTCTTCGGGTTTTGGGGCCCCCGACTGCAGACTCAGACTGCCTCGCAAGTTGGGAAGCTTCTGGGGGTTCAGTTTTCCAATGTCCCAAACCAACACCTAATAAAACACAGACATACTCTTAGAAAGGACGATGAAAAGATTTTATTTTTGTCATCAGTTCTTTTTTCTCCACAACACCACCAGTTCTGATCCGACTGATCCCTCCCACAACTTGTAAATAATAAATTGAGGGTCATTTATACAGCAGTACTGTATACAGCTTTCATAACACATACATTTTTGCTAAAAGCTTATGAACCTTACATTTATAGCAACTTTCTATTTTTATATTTGATAAGGTATTCAAGAAAAACAAATTATTTGTAAAAATTCAAGGTAACATGGGGGTAGCAATTCGTACACATTATGATCCTTTAAGTTGTTCTTAAGGGTGGCCTTGTAAATACTTGGTTACCTTGGTAGCGAGGTCGTAGCTGTAGTTTCCCTGTGTGGCTGTGAGGTTGGCACTGAGCACAGCTTTAGGCATGTGGATGGTGACCATCAGCGCCTCCACTGTCTTCCCCATGGTCTGCTTGGGTCCTATTGTGATGTCCAGGCGACCACAAGGGCCCGTCTCAAAGAAGCAGATGTTTTGCTTCACGTACACCGGAATGGTCACGAGGCTGAGGAAGGACACAGACAGAATTGACCATGATTACAATAGACAGCCAAGCTCAGCAGGCAGGCAGCAACTAGCTTGTGTTTACGACTAAACACGTTAATAATGTCGATTTTAAATCTTTATTGTGGAACATAAACTAGAGTTTTTCTCCAATTCTACCCAAAGAAATAGCACGACAAAGATTGTATCGTTGAGTTACAGAAAACATATTTACACAGATACTTTTTAAGACATGCATGTTTGTCTGTGTCTGTGTGCTTACTTTTGAGAGCTCACATGATAGTTCATGAGTGTGAAGTTCCCATCAGGCGGGATGAAGGAGAGGGCCCGCTCCGACTCCCAGCGCTTAAACCTCACACACGGGTGGAAACTCACGTCATCGAGAAGAGATGGATTCTGTCATCAAAAACGTCAACAATGGCAAGTGAATTTTCCACTCACACAAGTAGACCACATAAGCACAGAAAAACAAAGAGCTGAAAGCAAAGAACACACCATAAAGGTCATAGACAGATCAGGCATCCCAGTGAGACGCACGGAGGCTTCAATTACTCCCTGGATCTCTGCAAACACCGTCGTTCCTGAAATATTGAAGAAGATGCAAGCATGTTTGAAGTAAGGATGCGCCCATTTGATATTAGTCAAAATCGTAAAAAAGTACAACTTGATGTGGTAGAGTGGGTAGAGTGGGTACAATGAGTATTCAGTTATATTCAGTATTTTACACCGAAACCTATTTAGAAAAATCTGATCTAAACTTTGTTTGATCATTTTTATGTTTGAAAAGTCCTGACCAATAAGAAATGCTGCTAAGAGATCTGTGTGAGAAAATTCATAAATCAAAAGCATCAGCAATATTGCCAAGCTTAGTCATTATATGGTTTTGTATTTCCTCTTTAAGTGAAAAACAATGAGTTCATAGTTTGAGCATGATGAGGTTAAGCATAAGGTTAAGCAAGCTGCAGCTATTATTACAAAATTGATTAATAACAGCCTAGTTGTTTGAGAGAGGGGAGTAACTTCTAACTGGTGCTTTATCTGTGGTGATCCAACAAGAGCTTGTTTGTACCTGATTTGTCCACAATGGCATCTATTTCCTCTATTACGTCAAAATATGCCTCATTATTGGTGTATTTAACACCAGCTCGCCTCCAGGGGATACTGGACAATTGACCTGATGGTAGTTTATCTCCGACATTACTGCTTCCTGGAAAACAAAACAAAAAAAAGACAAAAAACATAAATGTACACATACTGTAGATAATTAGACAGAGCATATTACGGTTTAGCCTTTATAACACAGTTAGGTGTCCTCTGTTTACCTGTGAGCGTATTGACCACTGATCGCAAGATGGTGGGAGGCCTGATCATCTCTTTGAGGACGTTGGACTCTGTTGCGAGGGGGAAGCCGTTGTCCAGCATCTCCTCCAACAGCTCGTACACGGTCACTACATTGTCGTTGATTAGACTTTCAGAGCACTCTCCAAAGTAGTCCTGTCAACAAAAATACCTGTTACACTAAAGCACACAGTAGACAGTCATGGGATGATGTGAAAATGCAGTGTCTCCATCATTCTGGCCAACACAACTTTGATTCACAATATTAAAATAAAATATGCTTAAAACTCTTACAATGGTATTAAAACATACTACACATGACCTTCATTTTGAATCACAGATAGCAAATAGAATTTTTTAGTAGTAGTTTTTAGTCGTCGTTAGTAGTCGTTTTCTTTTAATGAATAATAAGATGTTGGATAAGGTTATAGTCAAACACGATGTCCCCATAGCCCTGCAGGATTGATTTATAGATAAGTAAATCAATCAATAATCAATACATAAAGAGTTTAATCACACCTGAATTGTGTCTGCCACTCTGTGCAGGAACTCAATGACAAACAGCGGAGGGACTTCAGTCTGGACGACAGACAGGAAGAAGAGCTTGTCTCTGTAAATGGAGATGAGGTAGTGGTGTGGGGTCTGCAGCACGGGGGGAACATTCTCCGGTTCAACTGCCTTCTCCTTTGCCTCGAAGAAGTAATCACACACACTCCTGCTGATGACACTCTTCCAGTGTTTCTCCAGGAAGATGTCTCCCGCGTGATTAATCAGGAACAGACTGTGGATCATCTCAGCTGAAACAATGACATGGTTGTTGTTTAGTAGAGGTCTGTTTTATTGAGTGGAACATAGATTCAGGATAACTTTTATTGACCAAGTATGTATGCACATACAAGGAATCTGTCCTCAATGTTATTACACAGAGACAGTTATCGGGAAGATTAGACAGGACTGTTAAGTACAAGTTTGTGAGAAAAATAGGTGTTTATAGAACATACAAGATGCACTATTGACCAACAATAGAAAACATATAACTTTTCTGAAACTTTAAACAATACAAATGGTGAAAAGGTTACTGAATAGATTACCTCGACTGTTATTTTCAGTATGGCACGAGTCCATATAGTGTAAACACAGCTAATATGTTAAATTATATATTTTTTTTTTAAAGGGTGCATCAAAAAATTACAATACATAATAGCAGATCAAATCAGCAGTTTTACCCAAATGTTCTTTGTCAAATATTTGATTGTGCCCAAATCAAAACAGTGCAAATGTACGTGTGACGCAGTGTCTTTTGTTGTCAACATTTACCTACTGTCATACTATTTAACTAACTTAAACCTCAGGTAACTTCCCCAGCTGGTTAGCAAACAGAGATTGTCAACTTCGAGATTTTAACCATCAGTTTGTTTATCAAAAATAATGAAATAATCGTGAGGGTTAGAGGACTAGCAGCGACATAGCAGTATTAAACAGAGCATAATGTGTACAAAGTTTGAGATTGTTGAAGGTTTTACCTGCTAACTCCGGTGCCAAAGATATCAGTCAGTTGGTGCCAGGACGGCAGACTGGGTGAGCAGCCGAGGAGACGCCTGTAGATCTATGCACACGTTAACACAACTTAGTCACAAGTTCATATCAATAAACCACATGATAAAGATTCAAACACTATAAGCCAAGAAATACAATTAATTCCGGCCGATTTAAACAGAGATAAACTCCTTTGTTGACCTGATTGATACTTTCAGATCAAAGTTTCGGACTTTTTAATCAGGCGAAGTTTGCGGGCAGCCATTATTTAAAGTATTTTGATGCCCTGAGTGTTGTCTTTCAGGTGTTATTGCATGTCCTTTATTTTCACATGCAACGTCCCAAGGCTAAACGTTTACCCAAGTCAGGTTGTCAGGTTTGGTTTCATATCAGAAATGCAACGAGCTATGATCATTTTATTCTCAGCCATAATAAAACTGTAGAAAAAGTGTAAGATGTATATTTATATTTTAACTTCATTTGGAAAACATTTTACTCACAAATTCCTGGTAAAGCACTACCCAGTCTTACATTGAGACTTGCTGGAGGAGAGTGCTAAAATGCAACAGCAGGTTACTTTATCTAGTGTAAAGTGGGTTTTTAGAGGTTCTCTTTCCCTTTTCTTTATCTTGTGTTATTTTACTTAATTTGTCCTAAACATTTGATCAATTCTTACTATTGATTAATTATACTTCCTAATTTAGTGTTCATATGGATAATGTATATTTGCAGTTGAATACAAATGGTGGATTGTGCCGAAGGAGCCACAAATCTGAAGAAGCTTTCAAGTCAGTGAAACCATCCGGATTAAGTCAATTTTTTTCATCGTCCAGTACATGAGAATACTTTCACTGATTTGTTATTTCATTAGTAGTCAAATGTGCCCAAAGACTTAATATACTGCAGTTCACTAACAATTGTGTAGGCTATATCGAATATATGCACAAATATGCAGTGAAAAAAAAATCACATTTATTTAAATCAATTTGAGCTTTTTTCCTGAAATTGGCAAAAGTGTCATCTTTGATCTTTTCTGCTTGGTACTGTTGGATCATTTTTGGGCACGTGTAAAAGTCCTTTCATACGGAGTTTTATGAATATTTTATGTGCTTTTAGTTTGCCAAAGAAATGGCCATCCACGTTTCCAGAAAACACATAAATGTAAGGCTTTGATTGGCGGAGCTTCAGTGATTGCGTCACGCATTGAGGGCTGCCTGCGAGACTGCACTCAGGTACCAAACATCCATTGCCTGTTAGCACAACCGCGTTTCCACATCGGTCAATAAAGTGATAGCAACGTGCCCTCTCAACCATGGCCTCCGTCGAACTCAAAGCAAATAAACGACTCTCAGAGGAGATGAAGACAGAGTCTCCCACCAAAAAGACAGCGACCATGGCCTCCGACGCACCCAAAGCAAAGAAGGGAAGATTCTCAGAGGAGAAGAAGACAGAGTCTCCAAGCAAAAAGACAGAGTCTCCAAACAAAGAGACAGAGACTCCGACCAAAGAGACAGAGTCTCCAAGCAAAAAGACAGAGACTCCGACCAAAGAGACTGAGTCTCCAAGCAAAAAGACTACTGACAAACTAAGGTGACCAAAAGTTAAGAATAAATAAGCTAAGAAACTGCATCTGGAGACATGACCCTCCTTACTTGGTTGAATGAATGCTAACGCGCGCAAATCTTATATACATAACAAAGTTAGTTAAAAGGCTATAAATGAGTGCATTGAATGTGAGGCTAAACATTTCTTTAGAATGTATCCGCGTGAAGCAGCAAGCAGGAGAGTTGTTCGCATCTGATAACCATTGTACAATCCTTTTATGATTATCTCTTAACGTGCGCGACACAGCTGCTGTTGTCTAACACATCCTATAACTTTTGCAAGGGTGCCAATATCTAATCTTAAATTCAGCGTGACCACCACCTGCTCCTGCATGTTTATAAGCTGCAGAAATAAACACTTGCACCGGTTTGGACACTGCGTTCATCCAGTGCCAAGGACTGGCTCCGCTGCTTGGTGTAGTAACTGATTACTGCAGAGAAAGCATGTCTGAGACACCCTGTCCCAGCTCTCAAAACAATGACTTGCGAAGTAGTCACATGGCCGTAAATATGCAATGTGTTGGTGCTTTTCATATCGCATTCCGGCACGATGCATACCTCAGAAAACTGCGCTATTCAACTAATCTGAAACCCGCTCTTGTTATATCATTGTATATGTGTAGGCACTATCATCAGCACGCTTCTCACGATGTTGTAGCTTAAAAAGAGTGAGTGGATTGAGGTTTGTCTGGAAGACGAGCCAATCAGCAGACAGATACGGGCTGTTCCGGACCTTCCTCCTCCCGATGCCTCCAATCAGTGAGGCCCGAGGGGGAGGAGCTGTTGTTGCAGGGGAAAATCGATCTTCCCGGGCACTGAGCTTAAAATTGTGAAGTTTTTGTATGCTTGGCTCTTTCTGAGCCGGTTTTAGGTTGCTCAACAGGTTGGTCAGTATCTAGCTGTTACACACAGAGAGACACCATGTCTTCTGCAAGGTAAGCTGCTTTATAGAGAATGTATGGCTGGCATGGGTTCTGGGTTGGTGTAACTGGTTGCAAAAGCCCAGTAATCTTGTGACTGCATATTGGAAGATGTATGTGATGTAGGCAATGATAGGGAGGGTGTGGCATTTGTTTTGGTTAGCTGCATTTTCTGTTTTCCTTTGACCAAAAAAACGATCTGTGTAACTACATCTCTGTACATTATCATTCTCTACTTGTTAACAAAAACATTCTTAAATGTTGCTTATGCTTGTTTTTCTCAGGCTAGAAGGCAATGTTTGATTAGTAAATATGCTAGCATATGTTCATGCATATGTCAGGAGACTTGCTCCATGCGGGTTTTCCGGACACTGGTAACATGAGTTTACATACTAAACACATGTTACCACAGTCTCTTGATGCTTTTGAAGAGTATTGTGCATAGATCATTTAGCATTTGTTTTTATAAAAGGAAAAGTTGGAGACTAACCCACAAGCTAATTGGTTACTGATGTGTAAGACAAGTTCCAATGTCGCTGTTATACATTGACACAAAAGGAGAGAGTTGCTGTTTAATTTTAGGTTTTTTAACATATCAACGGACAACAATTTGATATGAAAGCCTTGTGTTCAGTTGTTCGCACAGATTGCTATACCATGCTGTCATGTTAAAGCCCATGCAGAGCCTTTTTATCTTTAACACTTTATTTTTACATTTCAGCCCTAATACACTCTTTGGGATGGGAAACCCCTTACTGGACATCTCTGCTGTGGTGGACAAAGACTTTCTGGACAAGTAAGTAAAAGTAAACAAATATGACATTTGTTTCCTAGAGAAAGTGCTGTCATCAGATAGTTCTGAAATCCTTAATAGTTATAATGACAAAGCAATAATAGGAAACATTCTTCATATTCTCTTTTATGCCATTGTTGAAATAAATGTATATATTTTTTAAAGATTTAGATCCTTAGTCCGCACTTATCAGATCAAGGGCAATACAGACGTCCTGTGACACAGAGGTCACTCCAATGAGAGACTGACATGGCCTCATCCACACGGACACGAAACGGGTTGTATCTGCTACAGTTCTCTATCGTATGGACGGTTTGTCCACACGAGGCCGTAACGGAACCGCGGAAACGGAGCCCTCAAACGGTAACGGGTCCCAAGGTGGCTAGATCTGCGGACGTAACGCTCTGGGGGGCCAAACGGCTCTGTGTGTACGTCCTATACGATCATTTCCTGATAACGACGACGTCATAGCCGCGCCTCTCCCCACCTCTCCTGCTCACCCCCGCGTCACCCACGTCATTGCTGATGTGTTTTCGCCAAACAAGTTCTGCTGCTCACTGCTGTTGCATGGTCAGTAGCTACTATCTGCTACTAACCATGCTACAGAGGTTAGTGCAAAATCTACAGCTCCTCTACCACAACCATCAGCAACAAGTGGACATGGCGAACTACATGTTGCTAAATCCACCGCGGAGAATAAACAGAAGGGCAACCATGCTCGGGGGTCTTCTTCGCTGCTTTTGGTGAATTTTGTGGCGGAAGTACAGCGCCACTTACAGGCCCGGCATATGTACTACAGCGTCTCCAGCGGGTCGAGCGGTCTCGTGTGGACGGACACGCTTCTTGAGCCGATACCGTGTGGACGAAGACGTTTTTGATATCGAATTAGTTTAGTCTCCGTGTAGATGCAGCCTAAAAGAGAGGTTTGACGACGTAGTTCAATCAATGGAGATACAATCTAACTGTTATAAAAGAGAACAGAGCACAGAAAACAGATCTCACTAATCAGCGTCAACAGATGCTTTCTTTAATATATCCATAAATTAATGAGTCATAATACATTTCAGTGAGGTAATACATATTGGACTGTTCTAAAAAAAACAAATGATGCCTCTCCCTGTTTTTTATTTTTGTACCATTGTAGTTCAATCACATTTCTCCTCCCGTTCCTGTCTAAATCACTTGAATGCGCTGTCTTTAAACAACTCTCCTGTTATCTCCATGAGAACAACCTTCTGGATCTGTACCAGTCTGGTTTCAAGGCAGGTCACTCCACAGAAACTGCTCTCATTGCTGTCACGGAGGAACTGCACACTGCCAAAACTGCATCCCTCTCCTCTGTCATCATCCTGTTGGACCTGTCTGCTGCATTCGACACGGTGAACCATCAGATCCTCCTTCGCACTCTCCAAAAACTTGGAGTTTCAGGCTCTGCACTTTCCCTCCTCACCTCATACCTGAAAGACCGTACCTACAGGGTGACTTGGAGAGGGTCTGAGTCCGACCCTTGTCAATTAACTACAGGGGTCCCTCAGGGCTCTGTTCTTGGTCCCCTCCTCTTCTCCCTGTACACAAACTCGCTCGGATCAGTCATTAGCCCGCATGGTTTTTCATACCACTGCTACGCTGACGACATCCAATTAATTCTGTCCTTTCCCCGCTCAGAGACCCAGGTCGTCGCACGCATCTCTGCTTGTCTAGCTGACATCTCTCAGTGGATGTCTGCTCATCACCTCAAGCTCAACCTTGACAAGACTGAGCTGCTCTTCCTTCCGGGAAAAGATTGTCCCACTCTTGACCTAACAATCAACATCGGCACCTCAGTTGTTTCCCCGACTCAGACTGCAAGGAATCTGGGTGTGATCCTAGATAACAAACTGTCCTTCACTGCAAACATCGCTGCTACAACCCGCTGCTGCAGATACACGCTTTACAACATCAAGAAGATACGTCCCCAGCTGACACAGAAAGCGACGCAGGTTCTGGTCCAGGCTCTCGTCATCTCACGCCTAGACTACTGCAACTCCCTCCTGGCTGGTCTACCTGCATGTGCCATCCGACCTCTGCAGCTCATCCAGAATGCAGCGGCTCGTCTGGTCTTCAACCTACCTACATTTTCCCGCTCCTCCGCTCCCTTCACTGGCTTCCGGTAACTGCTAGAATCCACTTCAAGACACTGGTACTTGCTTACCATGCTGCGAATGGATCTGGCCCTTCGTACATCCAGGACATGGTTAAACCGTACACCCCAGCGCGTGCACTACGCTCTGCATCAGCCAAACGACTCGCTGCGCCCTCGCTGCGAGGGGGACCCAAGTTCCCATCGGCAAAAACACGTGGGTTTGCTATCCTGGCTCCAAGATGGTGGAATGAGCTCCCCATTGACATCAGGACAGCAGATAGCTTGCACATCTTCCGGCGCAGACTGAAAACTCATCTCTTTCGACTCCACTTCGAGCGATAGAACTTTTAACAAAGCACTTATATACTGATAAAGGACTGGCTTATCTAAAGCCAGTTGAGTAGCACTTGAAATGTTTTGGCTCTATGAAACCTGATGTACTTATATGATTCTGTTTTCGTCAAGGTTGTGTCTTCCTGGTCAAATGTACTTATTGTAAGTCGCTTTGGATAAAAGCGTCAGCTAAATGCAATGTAATGTAATGTAATTTTCTAATACTTAGAAGCAGATGGCAAAGGTAAAAAACACTCCTTTTGAGTTAATGGTGCTCATGCAAAAACAGAATTTGGGTTTTCGGTGCATGGAAAAAGGTGCGAGCCAAAGCATGTCGTTTCTGAGCAGCAGTTTGTTCTGGTCTGTCCGAGCTCTGTCACACTGAGCTGACCAGGGTAAAAGGCTCCTTTGGGTTGCAGCTCAGAGTCCGCTCTCTAACCCCTTGCGTAAACTCCAGGATTAGAGCTAAACAAACCAACCCTAGTTCTAATTCAGTCTCATAGAATAAAGCTGCCCCTTAATCCCCAATTTACCTGTGGGTTTCGAGGAAGCTAGACTCTGTTTAGCTTTATTGTCCAACAAATTGGTGTGGACTAGGTGCACCTTAATTCACATTTTCCATTTTAGGGAACAAGCCAATTGGCAGCACCACCATTGTGTCTGCAATGCATGCTATTCTGATTACTTTGAGAAACTAATGCCTCTTTTTTTCTCCTTTTTCTATTCGTAGGTACACTCTGAAACCCAATGACCAGATCCTGGCAGAGGACAAACACAAAGAACTGTTAGTATCTCCTGTATTGCAAAATGTCTCTTTGAAGTCAAGGTTGTGCTTTTTTCTAGTTTCTATAGGGAGAAAGGGAAAACGTCTGAATTCACATCAAGTTTGGTCCTGTCTGTTCTGGTGTGGACTAGTCAAAACAGGCGCACACCAGAAACCACCACTACTGACCTCCATATTTCTAAAGACGTCCAATGGCAGCGCAGCAGATCCATCACAGACAGACAGTCTGAGCCAATAGCAAAGCAGGACACATCACCTCCCAGTCCCTCTGAGGCGAGAGTAAAAAAACAAATATTTGACAGCGGGAGATAAGAGAGCAGTGTGTGACTGTATGAGAGAGAGAGAGAGGACTGAAATGACTAAATCTACACAGGTTTTACATTATCAACAGTGCTTTCTTACAATGTAAGATTAACATATTTAGTCTATGAATAACATTTGATAAATATGAATACAAAGAAAAGAGCTAACTTTTATTTGACCACTCAAGGCAGTTACATTCCTATATATTATTTATTTAAGGGAAGATTTTACTCATGATTTCCAACTTCCTGCCAGTCTTTTTCCTATTTGTTACAGTCCGCCCTTTCTTCTTCACTGTTCTGGGGTAAAGGGCTAACATGTTGGAGACTTGCCCTAGGGGTGAATACTTAAGTGACATAAAAGACTGGAAGCAATAAAGTACAGTGAGATAATAAAATAGAGTCACCCCCACTCCATTTCTCCCCCTGGCTCAGTCTCAGGACTTCTGACAGCAGTCGCTCTGTTCCGATGACAGGATGTTCACATAAATCACACAGGCAAATATCTGTCTGTAAGTTGATTTGGCTGCTATATTTAGACTGAATAACATGACAAATTACGCTTTAGCCCCAAGTGGACCATCAAAGCGCTGCTTGAATCATTGTGTTACGTAAAACAGGCGTAAATGATTCAAGTAGAATCAGAATGTGTAATGAGTGTTCATTCACGCGTCTGTTGTATTTATGTGGAGGAAATATGGCTTCTGCATGGAGCACAACCAAGCTCTGGATAAGTTACTGGGTGTGAATCCACATCCATCCCCATGCACACCACAGGGGGACACTATTAAAGCTATAACTGAGCAATCACATGCAAAACAGTATGATGTAAAAAAAAAATCTGATCAAAGAAAATTAAATAAGATTTAAAGGAATAGATTTTTTATTTTGAGAAATATAAGTATTTGATATATAACTGAGTGTTAGTTAAGAAAATAGATACCACTCATGTCCCCCATGAAGTATAAAGCTACATCCAGAAAACATTAGAAAAATCTAGCTTGTATTTTGTCCAAAGTTTTAAAACATCCACCTAGTAGCACCTTTGAAACTAAATAATTGATGTTATATCTCATCTGTTTAATTTTGACAGAACAAACCTTTATGCTAAGCTAAGAACATTTTTACGTTTGGTTTCAGCCATAATTGATACCTTGTGTGTGGTGAGGTTTGAAGCTTTGCATTTGTGAAGCACTTATCCAGCATTCCCAAAGAAAGGTGAACAAACGGTATACTTGACACTAGATCTTCTGGAGAAATAGAAATCATGCAACATCTTACAAATGCATCACCTGCTATGTTTGTCTGTTTCGTAGATTTGAAGAGATAGTGAAGAAGTCCAAAGTGGAGTACCACGCTGGAGGAGCCACACAGAACTCAATTAAGATCGCTCAGGTCAGTCAGTCGCACAAATTCACTTTCTGTCCTAAACATCAATGCTGCTTGAATTATTTCTGTAAATGTTGGCCACTGGTAGTAGTGTTAGTTGATGGATGCTGATCAGAGCTGTTGTATCTTTCTATAGTGGATGGTCCAGGAACCCCATAAGGTCGGCACGTTCTTTGGCTGCATTGGTAAAGACGACAAGTTTGGAGGGATCCTGAAGCAGAAGGCTGAGGAGGCTCACATCGACGCCCACTACTACGAGCAGGAGGAAAAGCCCACAGGGACCTGTGCTGCCTGCATCACCGGAGACAACAGGTGGGTCATTGTGATAAAGTCTTTCAATATTTGAAATTACACTTTTTTTTAAATCTCAACATTAAACATTTTTTTGTTGATGCGGAGCAGACCAAAAGCTAAATGGACTGGAATAGGGGTGGAAAAAAGTGTTTTTCTGTTTCATTTGATTGTGAAGTCAACAAAGTGACAATATACATTGATTTCTTTGGATATAAAGGTATTCTGTAAACTTTAAAGTTATTGCATTTATAGTAACAATCACTAATCTCGTATATCCTCACTCATAATCTCTTTTTTATTTTCCTCAGGTCTCTGGTAGCTAACCTATCTGCTGCTGAGTGTTATAAGAAGGACAAGCATTTAGACCTGGAGGAAAACTGGGAGCTGGTGGAAAAAGCTAAAGTCTACTATATTGCAGTGAGTAGTATTTACTATAGTACTATATGTGTGTTGTACACGTTTACTGTATTTCAGGTCCCTTCAGGAACCTCAACGTTGTACTCGTGGTAACCCACAGGGGCATTTCTGAACTACTGGTGTTCAACATGTGATTCATTAGAGCCCGTCAGGATATAAAAAGCAGATCAGTCTTGACCCAATTTGTCACCGTTTGCTCACAGGGTTTCTTCCTCACTGTCTCTTTGGAGTCCATCCTGAAAGTGGCAAAGCACGCGTCTGACAACAACAAACTGTTTTGCCTGAACCTCTCCGCACCCTTCATCTGCCAGTTCTTCAAGGATAACCTCATGCAGGTTATGCCCTACGTCGACGTGCTGTTTGGCAATGAGACAGTAAGCCAGACATTACAGTCCATTCTTCAGATGCTCTCTAAATTAGCTGCATGTGCCTGTGGTGTGAATATAAGGACACATTTCATTTTTGTAAATTACATTTTTTGTTTTTCAGGAGGCAGCAGCGTTCGCTAAAGAGCTTGACTTTGAGGTGAGTGGACTGACGGTCTCATTTAGCATTTGCAAATGATTATTGCTGCATTTTTAAATGTATTTGCATTCATTTATATTTTGCCCGTAGACCAAGGACATCAAGGAAATTGCCAAGAAAGCCCAGGCTTTGACCAAAGTCAACAAAAAGAGGGAGAGGATCGTAGTGTTGACTCAGGGGAAGGATAAAACTGCTATGGCCAGTAAGTTTCCTTTTTTGTCTTTATCCCCTTAAAGTTTTTATATTTTTAATAACTTTTATCAGCTGATTGCAGCAATGACAATGGCAAACATAAGACATAGGTTAAGTTAATTAATGCTACACATTTGACTGAAAGGCTTTGAATAGTTCTTAATTTCCAGACTGCAAGTTATATAGGTTCATGCTAACTGCCTTTTCTATTACTCAAAAACATGCCAAATTCAGAAGTAAACTGCATAAAAAAACACTGTAAATCTGGTATTTTGTGTGATTTTTAAATAAGAACTAATGACGCAAATGTGTCTGGAACAACAGTATGGCTGCTGTCTGTCAGTAATGTCTGTTCAACTTTGTTCCAAGTGCTGAATCGAATCAAAATCTAAGAAAATATGATTGTCAATCTCACATAGATTTGTTTTCCCCTTTTAACCTATTTTCTATCAGTTTCTTATCCTCTGTTAAAGTTGACCTACAGCCATACAATTTCCCTTCTGTCTGTTCAGGTGAGAAGGTCGAGACATTCCCTGTACTGAAGATTGACCCGAAGGACATTGTGGACACAAACGGTGCAGGTGATGCCTTTGTAGGAGGTAAGACTTAATCTCTTTTTCATTTGATACATTTTTAGATTGCCTTTATTTTTTCCCTGTCGTTGTGGATTTACCTTTACGTTGTTCTCCTCTCTGTTACAGGTTTCCTGTCTGGGTTAGTCCAGGAGAAACCTCTGGATCAGTGTGTGAAGGCGGCACACTACGCTGCTAACGTCATCATCAGACGAGCAGGGTGCACCTTCCCAGAAAAACCCGACTTCAAATGAGGAGTCCCGGATCCTTCAGTCCTTCAGCCTGAACTCACACACCCACCCATAACTCTGACTCATTTTTTCCACTATTTTCTACAAATACTTCCCCAAATTCTTGTAGCCACATTTCTTCCAAATTTCTTTGGACATTTCTTTCCATCCATGTTATTCAAATAAATCTTCCGCACATAATTTCATCTGCACAAATATTTAGTTGGGTGCCTCCTGGCGTGTGCCTGTCCCTGTTCTCCACTTGGGGCCGCTAGAGGATCACGCAGCCAGGAGCCAATGGATAATTGTTTTTTTAGATAAATCACCTTTTAAGGAATCATGAAAATATCACATAATGTGATAATTTTATTTTAAACAAAGGAACTTTCATGGACATTGTTTAATTTTCCCCCAAACATTTTTGGATCAAACACTGCAAACGTCTGTACGCCAATCACACTGCCATCCACAGTGGGAGGACACTCTATACACAAACAGGACTAATGAATCTAAATCTGTCAATGGAAGTTTGTATACTACATTGAAATGTGCAGTAGTGACTTATTTAAGATGAAATATTCCTGATTATGAGTTTGTTCTTGTTTTAAGATTTAATTTAACAGGCCAGTAATGAAACCAAATGTTTTTATTTTGAAATGTGTCAAAGCCTCTGCCCACTATGACCTGTGATGACTGTTAAATATCAGCTTGATTGCGTACATTTTGTTCAGAAGGTACCTTCAACATCAAACTGTGGAAGTTTTTTGGGCAGGTGCTTCTTGTAATGAGTGCCTTTTTCCCTTCCTTTCTCTGCATGTGTTACAAAGTGTTCAGAGGCCTATAGATGTTCTGTTAATCCACATTTCTCTACACAGGGAAACTTTAAAACTAGACCAGTGATGGGAGCTATACAGTGGCTTTTCACCCCTCAATACTTCAATTTCTCCCCGAGTTAGTGGCCTGTGTTCTTTCTGGGTGTCTGTTGATCTCTAGCTAAATCATAGCTTACTAAACTTTAATACTGTCCATTTTTATTTTTATTATTTACAATTATTCAGATTTTGACATTTTTGTCACTGCAACTGGCAATTAAAGATGGAAAATAAGTAAGGGAAACAAATCTGACACATCAGCCAAATTCAGGCTCGGGCTACTCTTGTGATATTGGGACAAAACATTTCAATATTGTTTAAACCTAAGTTTGTGGTATGTGCAGCACTGAATCCTTGAATTCAAGTATAGGTCATGATCTTAAAATGTGATGAGGAAGAAGTATGTTTTCTGAATACTACAGGAGTTGTTTTGAAACTTCATCTTATCTTTTAGTGTTGTCTCTTTGCCTCTCTTAAAATACAGACTTTTTTTTATACCGGTAAACCAGAAAGCCTTATGTGACCATTTATTCCTGATCTCAATTGTACTCAAGTTGCCCATCTCTGTGCTTGACATTTACAAATTAAACATACAACAATAATTTGTTTGCCTATTGATATATTTTTTTGACTACATTTATTTAATATCTAGCAACATTTAATCATTTAAAATTAATTTAAATCCTTTATTTCTGCTGCCCAGAAAAAAACACATCCCTGAGCTTATCAAAAACTAAAATCAAAGTCTACAAATTATTATCTTTGCCCAAAGCTGTGTACATTTCATATAAATCGATCAAACTGTCTATAACTACTGATATTAGCTTTTTTAAAGGAAAACACACAGATGGCGTGTTAAATATACTCATACGCTACATGCTGATTGTTCGTGCAAGAAAAGTTTTCACCCATGACACAGTTGTGGAAAATAATTTTTTTTAATGATACACTAGTTAAAGAAACCTGAAGAACATTTTTGATATACCTGAGAGGGATTTAGAAGACACATTTAAGTAGTAATAACAGATATTATCTGTCCTTCTGTTATCTTTGTGAGCTATTGTTGTTGTATGTCTCTTTTTTGTGCCAGCCTCTCCTCTTGTAACCTGATGTCCAGGGCTCTGAGCTGTTTCAGGAAGCCGTGGTTTGGCAGGATGCAGCGCCGCTGTTTCACATGCTCCACCGCATCCACCACCGTTAGGCTCTGCTTCATCATCAGGTAGGCCAAGACCAGAGCCGCTGACCTGCTGCGACCCATCACACAGTGCACCAGAACCTTGTCTGGGACAAAGCAAGTTGGGACAGATGGATTTGTTAGAAACAGTGAAGTATACAAGCCTCTTATCCAGAGAATGATCAATGAAGGGCTTTGCGTAACACTTTCTATGATGCCCATAAGATCTGGGAGATGATTCAATATCAACATTCTCAATCTTTCAATGGAATCATATTGTGAAATACAGTAGGCTATATCATGGTACACGACACACTATTGTGTAATATTCATTTTTTTATCTTTAATATTTTCTGCATGCTTCTTGGGAAATATTAAGCTGTCTGGCTCTTTTCTTGCTGTAACTAAATTGGAAATGTCCTCTGTGGGACGAATAAAGGTATTCTGAGTCTGAATAAGCTCAATCTATTGATAATAACAAGCATACTAACTCAAATGTCTCGGATCTGTAATATTTTGAAGCAATCATCACCAAAGTTGTGGATTTCATTTGACATCCCACTTAAAAAACATATACAAAAATAGGCTTTTATACTCTTTGATACAGACCTTTTATTTATGGACTGATGATTGTTATTCAGATATAAAATTATCTATATTTAGATAGAAGATTTTGGACAAGCCCAACCTTAATGCCCTGGTCTGGAATGCATCTTGAATATGTTGATAATGTGTTATGATCTGCTTATAGCCTTGTTTAATTTTATAAGCACTACATATTTGTAAATGTTTTCTAACAATAATCAGAACACATTTTTATAATGACTTGTAAGGTCATATATTATAATACTGATAACACAAGTATGCTTCTGAGACGTTGATATCATTGAAAGGGTATCTTTTATTTAATGTTTCAGGACTCACTCTGCGGCTGACTGAGGGCTTCGTGGATGAACTGTGTTGAGGGGCAGAAGTACTGGGACATGTTGAAGGTGGGTTTGTCATCAGCCTCCACACCGAAGTACTGTATTTCCATGTCAGTGTAGTAATCAGCACCAGTCAGCACGTTATTAAACTTTCCCTCTGCTGCATTGAGGACATGTGTAACACCCAGGTCCCTGAGGCCGGGCCGCTCCAGAGCTGTTTTCCTGTTCCCATGAAACAGAGATCATGAAGCTGTCATCAATAGAGTCATAAAACCATCTCTCTGTGTGTGTTCACTCACTCGTCCCCGATGAAGATTCTGGGCCACACCAGGTTAACGTGTGCATACTGAGCCCCAGTGCCGGTCCAGAACAGCTGCTCCAGGTCTAAAGTCCCCGGGGTGATGTAGTCACTGTCTGGGTCGACCCGCACCGCCGCGTACGGGTTCCTGCCTCTGGACCTCACCTCACAGGAGGACATAGCTCACCTCTGCTGCCCAGAAACACACACACACACACATACATACACACACACACACACACACACACACACACACACACACACACACACACACACACACACACACACACACACACACACACACACACACGCACACAGTCCTGAACTTCACCAAAAACACCAAACAAAGTCTACACATTCTTATCTTCACACTTAAATGTGTCCATGTAACTTATACATAAGTAGGCTAAGTTATACAGTCTTGGAGCTACAACCATTAGTCCATTTATTAATAAGTCAATCAACAAAAAAGTATCGATTACTTTATTTAGTTGATTAATTATCTTTAACCAAGTGTCTATTTTCACCCGGTTGAGAACAGTCACACGCCAGCGACATTTAGCTTTTTAATACTTTTTATAATTTACTATTTAATATTAAACTTGAGTGAAGGATGCGTACGGAGCCCTGGAGGGTTCATAGAGAGAAAACGAAAAAATATCTCGTGCGCACGAATTAATAAAACGTGGCGTTATTTTTTATTTATTTTGTTCTCTCTATGAACCCTCCAGGGCTCCGTAGATGCGTGATGTGGGACACCATCTTTTCTATAACATAACCTTACCTTTTGATCCATTTATTAATGTATTAACTTTTCACTTTTCTTAATGAATCCCCCAGTTAGTTAATCTTATATCAACCAAGAAAATTATAACATTATTTCCATTTTCAAAGATGTAAAGACCCTCCAATGTCTTAGTTTCATACACTTCTGTTGTATTTGCTGCACTTTCTTGCTCATTAATATGTCAGCACTTTAATGCACATCATTCTCAGATTGAGTAGATTAGAGTAAACAGTGAATGGTGTCCCAGAATGAACTGAAGCTGATCAGGTGTGTTATCTACTCATGATATTGGCTGTTAAAAGAGGAAAATACACCGATGGTGTGTTCAATGTTCTCATACAGGGTGATTGTTGTAAAAAAGTACTGGTAGAAAGTAAATTACTTACCTCTTTCTTGTAACTTTTTAAAGCTTTAAATCCGTTACTGAGCAGGATTGCAGACCAGCAACTCTTCCACAGCTGACATGTATTCATTAGTTGTGTGAGTGTGAGGCAACAGAGAGAAATACTGGAATAGTAACTGCTCTCTTGGGCTCTGTGTTTAAGATGATATTTTTAGGCAGCTGGGCGACAACACCTGACCTCAACAGTGTGACACACACACACACACACACACACACACACACACACACACACACACACACACACACACTTATACTCACTTATACTCACTTACATTGTTTATGTGGTTTAATACCTCTAATGCCTTGTACAGAAACACAATAAATCATGAGAAACAATGCCAGAAAACTAAAATAAGTTAGGTAAGAGGCATGTTGCTGTGTTGTCATTCTAAGAATGTAACTTGTATGTGGACAGGTGTGGGGACAGTTATTTCTGGCGACATAAAACTTAAATTCAGTTGTTAAATCCTACAAATTCTTGTTGGGGCTGAGCGATAATGTAAGAGACTGAGACTTTGTCTGATTCCATCAAATTGTGCAAACCCTTTTAGAATATTGGAATATAACTCTTACATTTCTCAATTGTCAATTGTATTGTTTTGGGTGCTTTTCATTTAAACATTTCTTTACTTTTTGTAGAGATTTTTATTTATCTCAGCAAAAAAGATATAAATCAATTACATATATTCAAACTAATTAAGATCATAATAAATACATAAAAAAGATACATATAAAATATAAATGAGGATATAATATGACAGTTTTAATAAACCAAAGTTAGAAGAAAATGCGTTATTGTTGTTAGTGAAAAATTAAAGTAATGCTTAAAGACAAAACAAGAAACAAGATATAACATTTGGTTAAAAGGAGAGAGTGGGTGTAATTTTTCAATCTCTTGTTATACCCGCATGTAAAAAAGGAAACACATTAAGCTTGTTGACCGCATTTGCAGACTGACCACTGTCTGTGAACTGTGCAAAAGGATTTCAGACAGGTTGGAGGTTGAACTCCAGATGGTCTGCAGCTTCAACACCGTGACATTTCCCCCTCAAGGTCGTTGTAGAACTGCTGACCTGTGTTGATACGTTGCTGACCTATGAGGTATGTGAGTTACACCCATAGACCAGAGTGTGGCTTTATCTCGCAGACCTGCAGACACACCTCACGCAACCTGATTCATTGTAATATATTTACATTTCAAACTGCTGGTGGTGATATACCATATCACTCATCTCTGATGGACAGACTCGACTTGATTGACTTTTTCTGCTGGCTTCCTGAAATTGCATCACTTCTGTCAGAGATGTGTGCATAATGTTGATGTGTCTTTACAGTGTTTCAGCCTGCCGTCGCCTTCTCCTCTCCCTCTCTCCAGGCCCATGTGGAGGCTGCAGAGCTGCATCAGGAAGCCTTGGTTGGGACAGACGTCTCTGTGGCCTGACAGCAGCCACTGCCTCCTGCAGGCTCAGGCCTTCAGCGATCATCAGGAAGGCCACCACCAACGTGGCAGAGCGGCTCACGCCCATCAGACAGTGGACAAACACCCGTCCTGGGATAGTAATGTTTGCCGTTAATTCTTTCATCACTATATATCCAATCCAATCCACTTTATTTCTATAGCACATTTTAAAATGTTAAAGTTTGTAGAGTGGGCGACAATTTAACATTGGGGGGCAGGTCGTTCCAAAGCCTGGGGGCTACCGCTGAGAAGGCTCGGTCTCCCCTGGTCTTTTTCTTAGTTTTAGGGACTACCAGCCGCAGCTGATCAGCCGACCTCAAAGCCCTTGAGGGGGTGTACACCTGTAGCAGGTCGGAGGCCTACTGAGGGGCTAGCCCATTAAGCGATTTAAAAACAAACAATACAATCTTAAAATTAACTCTAAAATGGACAGGAAGACAGTGGATATATGCAGCAAATGTTTTACTTTATGAGGTGCACAAGTACAAATTACTTCTACAGCCCCGCACCGTGACATCATCAGCTCATCATGTGAAGTGTGTGTTGACAGATATGTGTGAATTCCATTGTTTGTTACTGAGCTCATAGTAAAACGGGGTGTTGTACTGGAAAACATTAATAAGGTGTTCTTGTTGTCATCCCTTGTTGACATCAGTCAGGGGGACAGAATATAAGAAACACCTCTCATTATAATGAAGTACAATACCCTCATTTATGACTAAAATCTAATTATAAAAATTAGACTTAATGGCAGAACAGTTGTATTTCATTGATTTAGATGTACAGGGGTACCTGAAGTAGCCAATGAGTGTGGATCTTATCACACACACTAACATGACAGTAAGTGTGACTGACTTGCCTCCCATGGTTAGTGCCGCTCGGATGTATTGTGCTGTTGGGTAAAAGAACGGACTGAGCTTGAACTCTATTGCATCATCAGCCTCCACACCGTCCATAATAATCCACTGTCAGGTGTATGAACCTACTCGTTTCCTATGTAGAGGTTAGGCCAGACTTCATTGACATGTCCTGTCGGTCGTCTGTTTGCCAGCAGGAATTCCTGCAGCGCTGAGACAGAAGGAGGTTTATACGGAGGATCTCTAAGAGACATACTGACACAAACACACAAAGAAGCACATACAGTACAAGATGTCACTGTGTTTAATTATACAAAGTTCCCTTGTCACTGCTGTGTTTCATAGCAATATTCTTCTCACAATGAACCTTTCTTACAAACCATAATGAATATAATTATCTGTAGTTTAAAAGCCATACATTCTGTACAGACAAGCCTAACAATCCCCAAACTAACCTGTTTTCAGTCTGAGTCATCCTATGTGAACTCACCTACCTTCGGGGCAGGGCAAACTCTTTTCCTAGCTTGTTCTTATTTCTCAATAAACACTCACACATGACTGCTTCCTTTTATAACTCTGTAATCATACACTCATTGGTGGCATAACATCCCGCATCTATCAGCAGTTCAACTCCCAAATAAAAACCACATCTAAAGCATTTTGATTCATGTCTGATTCTTATGGTCAACAATGTGGCACTATCCTGTGAACTTTGACATTAGCTCACTGGCTCAGTTTCCATTACTGCAGACTGTTATGTAACACATACCGGTGCTGTATGTGTCTCTATGTTGCGGAGTAACGCCAGCTGCTCTGCTCCTTTAAGAAATATGATCCATGCTGTGAATAACAATCTCCAGTGACGTATTTACTTCAGCTGCATTTGTGTTTACATCATGCAGAATTATTTACCATAAATAAGGAAAAGTAGGTTATGCTTATTGCATTTTGGCATTTGGTTTACATAACCTAAGGATATATAAGTTCAGGTATAGCAGTGTCTTTACTCTTTAAGATGAATATAAACTACAACAGTGACATTAACATGAAGTTAACTGCACATTAATTCTTCAAGGCACTTTTTCCATATTAAAACCAGCCAGAATATTTCAATTAAATAACACAAAATGTCTTTAATTCATATTCACACTGAGTCATAAAGCTATATTTACAAAGCTTGTGTACATGCAGGACAACTCTGACAGGGAACATTTGAATACAGTTTGAATATGAAAATAATACAAAGAGAATAAATACACTTTTTACAACACATGATCATTGCTGCTGTAGCCAGAAGTTAAACCTGTGCATGAAAAGTAACTTTAAAAGTAAAAATAAGTATTATTTACAGATATTTTCCGTACAGATTAAAGTGGAGTGTAACTCATGGGAATAGAGGTCTAATGTGATGAGGGAGGAGAAGAAAGAGAGGGAGAGGTGTCATAAAAGAGGACACAACCTCCGTTTGAATGTCAGCTGTTGATCCAGTTTGAGGAGCAAGGACAGAAAGCTCTTGTTTGGATAAATGGGTCGCTTTTGGACGATGTGTTTCAGAGCATCTCTCAGAATGAAACGCTGCCGCAACATTAAGTAAGCCAGGACCAATGTGGCTGATCGACTCATTCCCATGATGCAATGCACCAGCACTTTTCCTGTAGGAAGGAGAATGTGAAAGGAAATATTCTTTTTACAACAGCATAATAAACCTTTGACATGGGACAATGCGTGACACATTCCTACACCGTACCATCTTTGCTCTTCAGGGCTTTATGTATGAAGGCAGCTGCAGGTTTGAAGTTCTCACTGAGGTCAAAGCGGTCTGAATCCTCTGCTGGGATGCCAAAGTAAACACAGGAGTCCCCATAAAAACTCTGGTCACCGATGCTGCCCTGCTTGGAGTGTGCTGCGTTCAGGACATGAGTGATGCCGAGCTTATTTAATGTCTTTCTATTCTGTGCCACCGCACTGGAAAACACACAAAACAGTCACATCAGGGAAAGAGTAGGCTATCATCAAATGATGTTAAGATGCAGATACACCGATTTTAAACTTTAACAAGCTAATAAAACGGGTACATTTTCTCCTGCAGAGCTGTTTAAGGTGTCCACAACATACTCTAAACACACAGAACTCACACATTTCCTATGTACAGGTTGGGCCAGACTTCATCCACTGGTGTGAGCTCCAGTGTGCAGGAATCCAAGATGAGCTCTAGTTCTTTAATGAGCTCCAGGTCCTGTGGCTGACTGGTCCCTGACATTCTCCCCTCACACAGACAGCTCTTCCAGCAGAGTGTGTGTGTGTCCGCCGTGCCCCCAGCAGCAGTGAGTGTGCGGCTCAGTGAGAGACGAGAGCAGGTGGCTGTTTGAATGCCTGCTTGTATCCAAAATTAGCTCCCTGTGTTCAGGGAGTTCTCTCTGAGTGCATGTAGTTATTATTGTTGCTGTTGCATTGATTGGTCTGTTCACTGCTGCCAAAGGTCTAGCTGGAAAAGACAGGGACTTTCTCTGTTCCTAGCCAGAAGTTGCATCAGGAGAGGACAAGGGATGGGAGGGATGCACACAGTTGAACTGGTGAGTGTATACTTACAGTACAGTATATGATACAAATGGAGACAGTCTTGCATTGTGTGAATGAGAACAGGGACTTCTGCAGACTAATGGAGGACAATTATTTAGATTTATAACTATGGGTTGCTCTGCACTTTGTTTTATTTTGGCTCATTCAACCCTTCGTCCTGCAGTTTTCGGAGTAGGGCTATGCTGTCGTAAAAAGCCTCTGTTTGGGAAAATCCAGCGTTTCTATTGCACACAGCGTGGAGAGGACAGAAGACTGAGGTGGTGATGAATCGTCACACCCACAGCACAGTGCACAAACACCTTGCCTGGACGTCATAAAGACACAAACAAATAAATGTCATGTAACCACAGCCAGTGTGTGGTGTCACTGGACAATATGTCTGCAGGACACACTAATACCATCATGCATCAGCTAAAAGCTTGTTAAATATGCTAATGGATGATACGTTTGCATCACTCACTCACCAGCCAAAAAACGAAACAACAAAAGCATCTAGTGAGTGAAAGGTAAAATATAACCATTCACAAGCCATTTGAGCAGTGGACAAAAAGTAAAAGTTGCACACGTGTGGCAGCTTACAATACCTCCAGATGTCAAAGCCTGGTGTATGAACTCAGAAGCAGGGTAACAAAAAGGTGAAAGGTCAAATGTTGGCAGGTCGTTGGCTGGGACGGTGTAGTATTTCACCGTGGTTCCATAAAAGTCATCACTGGCCTTACAGCACAGTTTTCCATGCGCTGAGTTCAGCACATAAGTGATGCCCAGCTGCCAGAGGCCGAGCTCCTCATGAGACATAAACAAAACATAATAAATGCACAATTTTAGCCAAATGTTGATTTAAATAAAACACAGGATACTCACATGTCCCCCAGGTACAGATTTGGCCACACTTCATCTCCATGGCGACAGGAGCGTGGAGCTGAATGTAAAACCTCCTCCAGCTCCTGCAGAGTCGGGTCTTCCAAGTCCTCTTTTGATCCTCTGTCCCACATTTTTCATCCCTTTCTAGGTCAGAGTCTTTACAGCTCGCCTCAGAAATTGGTTCTGCCATTTCTAAACTTTAAAGGGTGTAATCTTCTCTGTTATTTCCCTCAAACTAAGTCCTGCTGCTGTGTGTTGCCTCTGTGTTAGCTGCTACAGCCTCTGACTGTCATACACAGGTGGTGAAAGTTTGGCACAGACTCTCAGTTACACTCACACTCTTGAAAATGTGGTCATATTTACATAGGTAGTTTAAAAACCGCTGCTGTCAAATTCAAACCAAATAGTGCATGACATTTGCTTTTTTCCCCCTTTAAATCTAGAGAAACACTACCTGCAAACAGATCCTAGCTTACCTAAAAGTGTCCAGCAGATGTCAGTGTGCTTTGATCAGCAGCCCAGCATGAGCCCAGCAGCTCTTCTTTACTGGTGTTGTTTATTAATGTCTCTTCCTGTTTGGGGTTGCTGCTTAGTTGTCAGAAGTATGTTGGCCATGGAAGACTTGTCTCTTCTACTTCTTCTGCCAGCACAGTGACACTGGATTTATGGTAAGAGATAACTATTGTTTATTTTGTAAAATAAGTTTGAAACTACTAGAGTACATCATGCTACTTGTTTGTTTCTGGTTTGGCTATGTGTCTCTCTACTTTTGTTTATGTTAAAGTGTTTAAACTTTGCCACACTACCAATAAAAAGGGATTTCATCGCTCCAATTTGATTTAATGCTGAAATTAAGCGTTGTTTTTGGGTTCTGTGGTAAAAAGACTATGAGCCCTTTGTCAGATAGTGTCTCACACACACACACACACACACACACACGCACACACACACACACACACACACATGAATACCATGATCATAACACCAGAGGGAGCTCCACAAATCATGTGAAACCCAGATTTGGCACAAAAAAGGGGGAATACACGTTTCGCAATTATGCCACATCAAGGTGGAACGCTCTTCCCACAACTGTAAAGGAAAGTAAAACTATACTTACCTTCAAAACCTCTCTTAAAGAGCACCTTCGGGGGAGAGCATTGCAAAACTGGCCCCGGTAATGGTACAAATCTCAACCTGTCGTTCAATGGACAGCTTCCCCCCCCCATCTATGTATATACTCGCATTTTAGACTCTGTTACTAACTGTATATCTGTAGACTTGGTATGTCTTAAATGTCCGGTTAGGATGTATTAGAACGAAATCCAAAATGAAAATTGTAAATAAGCAATCTGTATGTAAAAAACCACCTGTATGTAAATTGTAAATAAGCCATCTGTATGTCAAATATGTCTTATATGTCTTAAATGATATGATGAATTGGAAATGGGGGACCCTGATGTAAACGAGACGAAAGTCTTTCTCTGGTCTGCATCCCCTTAACAATTGTATGTTTTGAGCTGTACTGTACTGTACCCAATATACAAGCTGTTAATAAACTTTTAAATCAATCAATCACACACACACACACACGCACACGCACACACACACACACACACACACACACACTGATGGGCTTTCTCTGTCAGTGTCACTGCTGTGTGTCACTGCTCTCTGACTCACTGTAAGCCAGCCAAACAAGCTGACATGGCACTTATGAATCCCCAAGTAAAGCCTCGGGCAGAGAACCCAGCTATGTTGCCAGTTAAATCTAGGGGCCAGTTAAAAATAACCTATTTCTCTCAGAGGGAACGGAGCAGAAGCTACCCAGGTGAGTTGCTTTAGGTTTCAGACATGTAAATATCACATATTAATCAGCTGATGAGACATTTTTGGTCGTCCGGCTTGGATCCCTAACTCAGTCAGACACTATTTGATATAATGGTATACAACACTGATTCATTAAGTCATTGACAAAAATCTAAGTTCCTGCTACTTTCAAAAGAGGATGTTGCTATCAATATTTGATTTTAGTTCTAAAAACGACATCTAGTGCTGCTTCGTGTATTACTGATAACTGAAAGCTGCTTACATGGGTAATTTGAAGTCTGTATCAGCAGTACAGTCAGCATGTAGACTATCGCTCACGTTCGGTGCGGATGTGTTGGTGGAGCTTGCAGACCTTTGGAGCAGGCAGGAGGACAGGGCGCTGCAGAGAGCTTATCAAAGGGTCAAAGGGCAGGAACGGGGAAAAGACAAAGCAAAGAAGAGTTTTTCATCAGTATCTAAATCTGTCTGAGGGAGAGAAACTCATTGAACTGCTTGTGTTGTGGATGGTTAGTGGCTGTTTTCTTATGAATTGAAACCTTTAACAGAGAGGATATCCATACTCAAGATTGAATTCCTGTTGGTTTGTTTTTGTTTGAGACATAATGTGAAACATGGGACTACCTTACGTGGATCAGGGTGTCATTACTTAGGCTGTAAGTCACTCCTCTGCTGTACAGTAACATATGTGAACACATGTATTACTGTGTTGGTGTATTCACGCTCAGAAGCCGGCAGCATGTAGAGCTAACGGCAAATAACTGCATCCAGATCTGTCATTGATTAACATTCCTGCCACATGCATGCCTTCAGAGCATGTTAGAGACTGTGTTATAGTGCTGATGATCAGTCATTTATAAAGGTGCATTTTGTGTGTTTTCACTTGTAAAATTAAATATTAAGATGTGATTTTTTATAATTTGGACAAATATATTTATTATCATATAATCATTTATTCAATGAACAGACAAGAAATTGTTAACAAGTACAAAATCTGTTAAATTATATTTTGTCTGACCAACAGTCCTAAATTGAAAGACCAATAGATATATTTTTGCCAGAAGAATGAATGAAAGTAGCAATTGATCATTTGATTATGTGATTGAAAGAAGATTATTAATCAACTATCTTGATAAACGATGAATAATTTACTCTTTTTTTTCAAGCAAAAATGCCAGCTGGTTCCTGATCTTTCAGGGTTTGCTCTACTTTTCGCCTTTAACTTGTTTTTTAATCAAGACCCGACATTTGAAGATGTCACCTTCTGAATGGACTGTGTGGCTATTATTTATTGACGTTTTTAAAAGATCAAACAACTCATTCGTTGTTAAATCCAGAGAACAATTAGCAGATGAATTAAAATAATAATTTGTCACAATTCTGGCTCATTCAGGGCAATAATACATATTGTGATCAATAGGATGCAAATGAAAAAGTAATGTCAATTGGTGACTGTCAGGCTGTTTTGCATTCAAATGTTTTTCTATGATCATACAGCCCTACCTGACTAACGCCTCTACGTGTCTCTATCTGCAGTGTCATGGAAGTGTTAGAGGACAGTGTGAGCGCCTGGAGCTGTAAGCAGGTGGCCCAGTGGCTGCAGGAACGAGGTTTCGGGGAGTATGTGGAGTTGTTGTGTGACCAGCACCGCCTGGACGGGCCCAGCCTGCTGGCTCTGACTGAGGCCGACCTACGGGGGCCTCCGCTGGGCCTCACCGTCCTGGGAGACATCAAGAGGCTCACCATAGCCCTCCGCCGGCTCCAGGGACGGAACCAGGCGCAGCTGGAGGAGCTGGGTCTCCGTCCTGCAGACAGCTCCCCTGCTGAGCAATTGCTGGGCACCGCAGGGAGGGAGTGGAGCTGCGATGGAGCTGACAGGAGGTGTAATGGAGGGGATCGCTTTTATAATGGGACAGAGCTGAGGCTGAGGAACGGTGACAGATCTGCGTTATGCTCAGCATCTACGGCTCACACACACTATAACGGGAGGTGTAGGCAGCACCTGTCGGGCAGGCTGGACCCAGAGGTGTGGAAGACGATCGTCAGCTCCATATACGTATTTTTGGTGTTTGGATTCACATCTTTCGTCATGGTCATCGTACATGAGCGAGTCCCGGACATGAGGACGTACCCCCCACTTCCTGACATATTTCTGGACAGGTAGAAGAGCAAGTCCATAGTTCACTTTTCCTGCATCATATCTAATCTGCTTGCTAATACACTTGTTTTCTATCTCTGACAGTGTTCCCAGAATCCCTTGGGCTTTTGCAATGGCTGAAGCCTGTGGCGTCATCCTGTGTTACATGTTTATATTGATCCTACTCCTCCACAGACACAGGTAGTCCACTGTTCCTGTTTTCCATCACTGATGCGTGTTATAATACACATAATGAGATATACCTGATAAAATACAGTGTGTTTGCAATGCAAATACATTTGGGCATGTAATGAGTATGTGTCTCTATTTCAGGTCCATCCTCTTCAGACGGCTGTGTTCTCTGATGGGAACTGTGTTTTTGCTTCGTTGTTGCACCATGTTTGTCACCTCGCTCTCCGTGCCTGGGCAGCACCTGAAGTGTGCCAGTAAGGTGGGAAGCAGCATGAGATTATGTGCAGATTAGATCAAATGTGCCATTTTCAGCTGTTGTTGCTAATTGGCAGCCTTACAGTTTGTTCTGAACACATCATTCCCACTGTGATAACTGATGAACAGCTGCCTCTGTGTTTCACGCCATGAATGTTATCTTTCTGCTCCTCAGACGTACGGTGATATCTGGGGAAAGATGCAGAGGGCACTACTGATCTGGAGTGGGTTTGGGATGACTCTGACAGGCGTCCAAACTTGTGGAGACTACATGTTCAGTGGACACACCGTTGTCATCACATTGCTCAACTTTTTTGTAACTGAATGTAAGTGATATTGCTTTTATTTAGTATAGTACAGCTGCATTTGTTAAATTATAAAGCTGACATTTTTTATATATAGTTCACCATTGTCAACAAATCCTGTAAAAAGATCTAAACCAACAACATTATTCAAACTGGAGTAAATAGTGCATTTGCATTCAGGCGCGGATTAATACACATTTAGTGTAGAAGTATGACATTACTAGGAATGAACACGTCACATGGTGCATACATTTCAAATATATTTGTTGAGATATGTGGCAAATAGTAATACGCCATCAATTGTGAGTAAAAAGTGATTTTGTTTTGGACTACTTTAAATCATGGATTAGATATGTTTTGGTGTGAGTCAGTTTTTCCACCAGCAGGAGTGTTTCATCAAGATTGTTGTACCATATATTACACTGCTGGTGATCAGCTTAAGCTTCATCTTGACTTCACAAATAACATTTGTTAGTAGAATAATTTCACTGTTGTTTTTGGTCTTTTCATGGGATTTGTAGAAAAATGTGAATACCACTATATTATATATAATATATACTTATCCTTTAATAACTGCTTTCACTTGCAGACACTCCACGATCTTGGAATCTTATCCACACCATCTCCTGGGTGTTAAACCTGTTTGGGATTTTCTTCATCCTGGCGGCTCACGAGCACTACTCCATCGACGTGTTTATCGCCTTCTACATCACCACCCGCCTCTTCCTCTATTACCACACCTTAGCAAACACCCGCGCCTTCCAGCACAGCCGGAGAGCGCGCATATGGTTCCCCATGTTCTCCTTCTTCGAGTGCAATGTGAACGGACCTGTGCCCAACCAGTACCACTGGCCCTTCAGCAAACCTGCCTTCATGAAATCTATGATCGGATAGAGTTTCAAAGTGCAGCTGCAGCAATGAACACAGACAGTTATATTAAAGCCTGAAGGAGAAACTTTTATTTAAAATGCTGCTTCCTATCTTGATGTGGGAGTTTTTTCCCGTCATTTCTATAACTGAATGATTTTTATTTTGTAACTAATCTTATACTAGTTTGACATTTTGGGAATATGCCTATGCTTTCTTGTTTTTTTAGCTAAATAAGACGACAGCATATGGTTATCTTAGTTTAGCATAAATACTGGAGCTGGATTATAGGCCCTAGGTACGGATGGTTTTGTTTATTTTTGCTTTGATGAATCACTTTTATCGATCATGTTCCACTTTGGGAAGGTTCACTGGTGCTTTGGGCTGTTGGCTTCACTCAACATCTACAGCAGAAAACTGAGGAGGCTTCACACAGCTGAAATGCAGGTTGATACTGTTTTGCTGCAAGACATTTGACACTTGTAACTACTAAGAAAGGAGGAACAGCTTATTTTGTTGTGCAACAGGAAAACTCCTCCTGTTCTCTAATGAAAGAGCTCGGTTTCAATCACTTTTTTTCACTTTACTAATTGAACTCTTTGTTGTATTTGATATGTCATCACTGGGCTACTGTAGCCTCCCAGTTCAACTTAACCAAATATCTGAACATTTATTATAATGTCCAGTTTTGCCAGTTAGGCCTTAGTATGATTACTTTGTTATCCTAATTTAATACCGTTTTATGTTTTTATTCCAGATTGTTAATTATGTAATGATTATAGAAATGTGTGGAGATGGATTTTTTTGAAGCTTTATTGTCTTTAAACTCTGTTGCACAGTACAAAGACTGGGTTTATGGGTAACAAAGTTTCGAAGTATATTGTTTACGTCATGGTTGATCCAAAGTATATCTTTGAAATAATTGTTTACAATTTGTTTTGCTTTATTTGCAATGCAAGTAATCTATCTCTGCCTTTTGGCTCAGCAATACAAGTTTACACGAGGAAAACAGTTTTTATATTTTAGACTGACTGTTTCCGTGGCTGGTTTTTACTAATGTGTTTCTTTTGCATTTGTTGAATAAAATTAATTTGACATATTAAAGGAAATTCCACATTGCTTGTGCTTTGTAAGAACAACATACAGTATCTATCAGTGGTGAAAATGCCATGATTTAGTGAGGTGTGCCTTTAATATCAATATAACTTCATACGTATTTCTCCTCACACCTTAAAACAAATATCTGATTACACTCACATCACTATTCAAACATTATCAATAAAGTTATGCAGTTTCGCACCTGAATATAAAGCCTCCATTAGAGAGTCCTCACAGCGATCCGCTTTCTTTTGACCGATTCACATCAAAAGTAGTATTTTAGTAGTATATTATACTTTTATAAAGGGAAATTAGGACACTTTATATATTTTATTGGAATACTTAGTTGTAGAATTGTGGTTAAACATGTTTTATATAAGAGATTCTACATCAATGAAGATATGGATGGATATATTACATTTAAAAGACATCATGCTGTCCCAGTTTACCTCATTTTACGGCCAAAATGTAGATACAATTGGATCGTGTAGTTTAGCTTTAAATTAATGAAGGATTACATTTGAGTCCTACTGCACTCTTGATTATATTTTTAGCAATATAGATATTGTTTGTAGTATAGTATTAGATGAGGTAAAATATGTATTGGCAAGTAAATTAAAAAGTGCTTAGGTAAATAATATCAATGGGGATTCTTTTCACAATTCAAATGATTTTTTTTAAATTAAGCTGGTGGGCTGCTAAGGTTAAGATGATTAACAAATGAAAATATTTTTAAGATGAAAACATTTTCAAGTTATCTCAAAGACTAAATATGTCTTGTTCAAGGTTAAATGTGAATCCTTACTAATCTAACTTCTTCAGACTGAATCACATACATCTTATGACATGCATTATGGTTCAGACATACTGTAATGCTTGAAACATTGACATTTTCATTTAAAAATGAGTATACTTGATCATTTGGAAACGAGATGAATACAAATCACCTCAAACATGCATTTGTGTTATTTACAACAGCTACAAGAGTCAGACACTGACATCCTTTTCTGGGTATTTGTCACTTTTAAACTTGTGTAAACATTACGAATCAAAAGAGGCATTAACCCTTTTCTTCAATGTAAAGGAGGCTCATAATGAAGGTCAGGGATCACTCGTTGTTTACAGATATCTTTACTCCCCCAGGCTTCTCTCCATAAAGGCTTCTCAATTCTCTAATTTCCCCTCCTTGACTCCTCCGCTCGCATCTCCTGTGGGCGGGACTAAGACACGAGGATAGGAGTCGAGGAGGGGAAATTAGAGAATTGAGAAGCTTTTCATGTGTTCGTTTGTCTGCTTGGACTGGTTGTGTCACTCTGACTGCTCCTTCGAGGAGTTAGTGCTGAAAGACCTGAACAACCCTCCAACAGGTGAGTGGACATGAAAACATTAGACGAGACACAATTAAACAACAGTCTGGCAAAAACTGGTCTGTTTTCATTGTGTATCATCATTGTGTATTGTCTTAACACCTGTGACCTGACTCAGAACTTCAAAACCACAGCTATGGACACACTATCACACATAGAGTTAGTCAAGGCCACAGATTTATCAGAGTTTGATAAGCCACTCCACAGATCCTCTGAATGTGGTCTTATTTATTTATTTACAGGGTGTGTGGATAAGGATGGAAAGCAGCATGATTTTGGCACTGAATGGACCAAAGACTGCATTGAGTGCTCTTGTATGGGCCAGGGCATGAGCTGCTGTAGCAAGTAAGATTATTTAAAATGTTTTGTCTCTTTTATTTTCAAGCAATGCTCTCTTAGAAGCGGTAGCGAATGAGGCTATACCTTACGTCCTTCATGTGTTATAATCCAAAAAGCCCCTATCACCCTTGTGAACCTGTCCTTCCCCACTCTCCATCCCCTGGTAGAGACGATACTGGAGCAGAGGGGTTGTTTAGTTAAGAATGTGAGTCCAGTCTCCCTGAATCTTTGATCTTTTTTCTGTCTGAGTTTTGTGGAAGTTACAACACGTCCATGTTTCTCTGTTGTCAGCAGGACCCTGGGGATTTATTTATCCCAGCGTATCATTAAAAGTATTCCTGCTGCGTTGTTTTTTACAATACTCTAACCAACATTTTTTGACTGACTTGCCTTGCTTTTTAGGCCTGTTAAAAAGGTACAAATTGCCTATTGCCAGTGGCTCATCTCTTGCAAAGGAAATCTGAAATAAAATATACATTTGAAGTTAAAAATAAAAACACAACCCCCTGCTCTACACAAAAGAAAAGACACCCCTCCTTTTAGTGAGTATAAACATTACAACTCCCTCCCTCTTTTCTGTCTGTTTGGATTTCATTTTCATCTAAAAGTAATGTTTCTTTTTTTCTCAGGATCCCTGACGCAGACACAATTGTTATTCCTGCAGAATGTGAGCTGGTGGTAAATAAGGAGGCTTGCACTGCCAAGATTATGATGAAGTCAGACCCGACAAAGGAATGTAACCTCGTCTAAACGCACCAACAAGTTGTTAAATGTTTCATATTTGATCAACTATTGTATGCTGTGTACATCGAGTAAATAACCAATAAAAACAGATGAATCAAACGTTGTCTTCCTTTTCCTGTTTTAAGTTGTCATTGACAAAAGGTTTTAGACAAATATAATTAAAATCCAAACATTATGTATGGGGTTCTGGAAGCAAACTATGAACAGATAATAAATATATCTAATAAAATGTGTAAAGAATTTATATTTAAAGCTCAATCAATAATTCATCTGAACTTTATCTTATTGTGAGTTGTCAGGTCATTATACTGCTATATATATTTGTTTTGCCTGTAGCTAATAGAAACATTTCTAATCAGAATCAGAAACAGGTATTTAAACAATAAACAATTAAACAATTTTAAGAAAACTACATTAACATTAAAATATAGCAATATTTACATTGAATGTGGATGGAATAAAGGTATACCCGTAAAAATCAAATATAATAAAAACACAATATGTGCAGTTACAATGTGCAATGTGCAGAATTCAATTGTGAAAACAAAACATTTAAATAATAATAATAATAATAATAATACATGACGCTTTTCTAAAAACTCAAAGACGCTTTGACAGAGAATAAAACAAAGAAAACGAAGAAAAATACATAAAGAGAGATAATGGCCTGATTGTACCTGCCTGCTGTACAGTATGTCTCTGTAGCAGCAGGTGTCCTTTTCAGCATGTAATTGAATGAAATCACCACTGTGTGACAGCAGAGCCCGGTGCTCTGGCCCAATCATCACGGGGATGCGCTCGCCCACCGCCTCTGACAGAAAGACGTTCTGCTGGTGGTGATGTTCAGCTCCTTCTCCTGCTCTCCTCTCTGTGGACTCACAGCCGCTCAGAGCATTGTCTCCTCTGACATCTCAGCATCCCAGACACACTCCACTCCAGCCAACCAACCACGTGAGTGCTTTATTTTTTACACACAATTATCAGTTTTATCAGGAAAAGTCAGTGTGATTTTCAGTTAATTAGATGTAGAACTAATGCTGTGCTGTTTCTCCAATGTCAGCTTTGAAAGTGTGCTGTTTTTCATCTAGAATTGTAATTGTTTTTGAAGAATGCACGGAACAATATGAGAGCAACTAATTTCAAAATGGAAAAAAAAATGAAAACCATAGAAATGATACTTAATGTTTCACATAGTGTGAATTTCCATCCCATCTCATGAGTCGTAATTAATGATTTCTTGGGAGGTCTCACCCACAATAATCACTCCCAGCACAGAATAATCACATTATGGTTATTATCTGAGGCTGAGCCCACTACAGCGCTTCCTTTACTGCGCCTCCACATGCTAAATTGATTTTTAATTGTCCCACTGACTGGATATGTTGTGTGTTTCTGCAAAATAAATGCACAACCTCAAATTCCAGTGGGTTCTAATATTCACTGGTGTTTTGCTGGAATAAAAATAACTTATTTGAGAAGTATATTGTATAACAATAATTTCAAATCAGTGACTGTATAGAGACTCATTCATAGGTTGGGCTTTTTCTTTGATTCTATATCAATCAAGTACATGTGCGCCATCTGTCCTCTTGTGATTTCCATTTTCACAGACGTTTATTTATAGTCTAATGAATTTGTTTCGAGCAAATCCTTTTGTCATGCCCTCCAGGATGGCTTTATACATGTACATACCCACCTTCACATTTCGGTCAAATTACCAAATAATATTCTAAGAGGAATTGCAAGGAGAAATCCAGTCACAAAAAAGACAGACATTAATTTTGGCAGATGCAGAATACATTAAATTGTTATGCAGTGTGACAGTTTTGAAGATACTGCAGAAGAATTTGAGAGAAACATTGATCACAATGCAAGTTATACAATCATTATACAGCACAACTGCTCTCATAAAAATACTAAAGACAGAATCAAGGTGAGTCTCCTTCAAGGAAAATGAAAGCCAGTCTCAGAGAGAGATCTATTTTCTCAGAGATGGAGGACACTTAGCTGAGGCTGAAAAGAAGAATATGACAGCCAGCACAGTGACAGGTCACAGTGCTTCTCATCCTGCTTCGATCTTTTTGAAAGGGGACCATCAAAATGGCACATCTAGTTGCTGATTTGCTCATCATTGGAGGGTGACAGGCTCATATTTCTCTAAAGCGACATTCCCACTTTTTCTCCTGCTTGTGTTCATTGTTCATATACTCTGTTACAGCTGTTTTCTACATCTGGTCACGGGTGACATTACACTTGGATGATTAAGGCTGTACCACCCTGCCTGCAGTTCCCTTGACACACTGACAGAGTATGTTAGTAATGATGTGGTGTGAAGTGACTGATAGCTGAGTGTGTGTGTGCTGTTAATGGAAAATGACAGGCTTGTTTTTTCTCGCAATGCTGCTTTTCACAGCACATGGCAGAGGTTTCAGGAGAGGAAGCTCAAATATAATTTTAGGATTCTGACAATGGCATGCCCTTTCATTTCAATGTACTATACAATTGATTGTGCATTCAAAAAATCGAAGACTATGCCAAAAATAAATGCATAGTAATTTAATTGTCATTAAGCTATTATGTTCAGTCTTGAAACCTGACTTGAGGGTTCATTTGTGGGAGGAGAACTGACAAGTCTGAGTTCTTAAGATGCAAAGAAGAGAAATAGAAAGATAAGTAAGACCAAGAACTGTAAGTGGAATGCTGCAATGCTAAATTAAGATGGTTAATCCCTCTTCAGCTAAAAGATAAAGGCCTATTTCTTGCCTCCCTTTCACAATGACAGAACAGTATCCCTTCCACATGAACAAAATCTTTGAGCTATGAAAGGGATTACATTTCAAATCATAAATAAAGATGTATTTTTCTGTCTCCCTCTGTGCTTCCTGTCTCTTTGTCCCAGATGCATGTTTTAAGAGGACTGGGATGGACGGTTGGATCCTGAGGGCTGGTGACACTGAAGTCTTGGTGAGATGTCCTTGAGTGGCAATGCGAGCCACTCTTCTCCACCAGCTCTTACTCTGCCCTTCAACAGCTCCACCTCTTCATACTCCCCAGCATGGGAGGAGGGGAGAAGCACTCACGAGTCTGTGCAGGAGTGGTCGGGGAATAAAACGCAGCTCCTCTCAGACCTCGCTGTTCTCGGGCATGATGAGCAGTGCCCTATGTCTCCTGTCCTCACGGCGTGTCTGGTGGTTTGGTACAGCATGACAATGGTGCTGGGGCTTGTGGGGAACATCGGCCTCATCTGCATCATTGCCCGTCGCAGGGAGAAGGTCAATGTCACCAGCATTTTCATCTGCAACCTGTCATTCTCTGACATCCTGGTGTGTGTCTTCTGCCTCCCCTTCACTGTCATATACACACTAATGGACCATTGGGTGTTTGGCTCGCTGTTGTGCCGGCTGGTGCCGTTCATCCAGTGTGTGTCTGTGACCGTGTCTGTTCTCTCGCTGGTGTTCATCGCTCTGGAAAGACATCAGCTCATCATTAACCCCTCTGGGTGGAAACCAAGCATCCCTCAGGCCTACACGGTGCTTGTTCTCATTTGGATTCTGGCCTGCTTCACCTCCTCTCCTTTCCTGGCCTTTCAGCTGCTAACAAGCGAGCCGTATACTAATGTCATGCTGCCCCAGTCTCCACTCTATCACCAAGCCCCTCCTTATATCAATGCATCAACACCTCAACCTGTTTCCTTCACATACAAAAACTCATCTTCACCTAAAAATGCATACAGCGCCCTCTTTTCTTATGCGCCCATTACTCCGCACATGGAGGCCTGTCTGGAGCACTGGCCTTCCCAGCCGCACAGACTTGCTTACACCACATGGCTCCTGCTGTTTCAATACTGTGGTCCTTTATTGTTGGTCCTGCTCTGTTATGTTAAGGTTTATGTGCGCCTTCGCCACCGCAAAGACATGCTGGACCGTGCCAGGACCCCAGAGAGCCAACGCATGACAAACAGCCGACGGATCAACATCATGCTGGTCGCCCTCATTACAGCCTTTGCACTTTGCTGGCTGCCACTCACCATCTTCAACGTGGTGTCAGACTGGAACCAGGAGGCTCTGCCCATCTGCCATCACAACCTTCTGTTCTCCCTCTGCCACCTGCTGGCCATGTCCTCTACCTGCATCAACCCCATCATCTACGGCTTCCTCAACTCCAACTTCCGGCAGGAGGTGAGAGAGGTGCTCCTGCACTGCCGCTGCAGCCCGCCTGAGGAAGAGTGCGAGCGTTTCCCCATGTCCACTGTGCACATGGAGGTGTCCCGTTCCTCTGTGCCTCTCACGTGCAGGAGCAACTCTCTCTTTGATATAACAACCTGAAGGATGCTGCACTAGAAGGATACAGACAGATAAACTGAATTACAGGACTTATTCCTGCTGGTTTTATACCTTTTATGGCATCACAATATATTTGAGTGGTTTAAAGTGCAACATTTGTTTCAGTGGTTTGAAGTGATGTTTGCCGTACGGTGTTGATTACTCCTAATCTGCAGTAGCAGTAGGAAGTGTATTTATGTAGAACAAAAGATCAACAGAATGTCATTTCGAATTAATCTGTTGCTGTGCCCCTAGACGTTTGAAACAAATTGTAGTTCATAGTAAAATCAAACCATTTCACCATTTTGTAATAACAAATGATCAAACGTGTGTCCTGTTGGGTGCCAATTAAACTGTGATTTTAGAGAGCGTCTGCCTCACCACGAACATCAAAAAAATACCAAATGAGGGAATATCTTGCTTTATAAAGATGTTCATCCATTCAGTAACGTTTTAGAGGATTGTGCTGCTGTTATAGGGTTGTGGTTGACCAACAATACTTTCCTATGTGTTTTCTTTTGTAGTGCTGCTGTTGTATTTCTTACATTTTATTACTTCTTTTGTATTTATGGCATGTGTGCTCTGAAATAGGCGTGTGAGTTGCTACAGTGAAACAAAAGGTGTCATTAATGCGATTCATAGAGGTAAACTGTAATATTTTATAAAATTGTTAGACAGTTGGGTTAGATGTAATAAAATATATATAAATGCCATCAGACACTTCTAATGGATGTTACATTTTGTACCGTTTATAGAGGTGCACTACATTCTCAAATATCTTCAAAGTATAAATATTAAATATTGTGTATCTAATCCAAATGCTTGCTGAGAACTGTGTTTAAGTGAGACTGATGATGATATAGTCCTGTATGTGCCTGGTTTAATAATCAAATTACTATCATATGCTGTATATTGGTATACCTCAAATGCCTTATTCTTTGTGTTAAATATTTTAAATAATGTAACAAGAATTTGTATTTTATTTAGCTCATGAATGCACTTTACACTTCTATTAATGTGCGTGTGTGTGTGTGTGTGTGTGCGTGTGTGTGTGTGTGTGTGTGTGTGTGTGTGTGTGTGGGGGGGGGGGGGGGTGTGGGTGGGTGTGTTCTCAAGTGCAAATGTTTCATTATAATTATATTGATGTCAATTGCATTGTTGTATAAGTATCTCTGTTCAGATGGTGCAATATGTTAACTTTAAAACATGTTTAATATATTTCTAGGCATTTCTAGTTTGTTGTTCTTTCACACTAACAGATAACGTGTAAAACATAAGCTTTGTCCAGTTATTCCAACGCACATTAATGACGGTTTCCTCGGTATATATGAAAATAAAGTCATTTTGACATAATTATGTGATTTTTCTTTCAAAAGAGACAAAAAAGATAGCAGTGATACTTACGTCTCCTGGTTTCAAATATACTTCTTATTTAGGGTCCTTCTCAGGAAGCTACGATGTTCCCTCGGCCATCGCATAGAATAGAAGTGACGTGTGTTTCCTAGCAACCAATGATAGCCCTTGTCCCAGAAGGCATTGCATCACAAACTGCACGCGCGAACATTTTAGTTTAGTTTAGTTTAGTTTGAATCTGAGCGTATTAAACTCCACTGCCGCATAAAGTAAGTTCACGGAAGTTATTACAATCACTGCTTAACATCTGTGTTCATGCCTTTAGTCAAAAGTATGTATAATACGTATGCCAGCAAATAACGGAAGTGTTAACCCAAGTTAGCCACACCAGCGTCAATGCTAAAAATAACCAAGTATGTTAGCTCGTCAATTTAGCAACGAAACGAAGCTAAACTAACAGTAACATGTCAACAACATTAGCTCTTTATGCTAGCTAATACATGTTTTATGTAGGTTAGAAACACAGGTGTTTGATACACAGTAATGTCATAATGTAGATGTCCCTTTTGATGCTAACATTACTCGATGTATGGTTTACATAGCTCACTTCAGGCGGTTTAACTTTACCCTTTCCATTACAGATATTAGATATACTAAAAACCACAATATTGAAGTAATGGGTTTTTAAAATGCGGACAAAGGTCGGCAGACATAATGGACCCCCACAGAAAAGCAAACGTGTTTATCGGCAGATCTTCATACACGCCAGACTTCCAGTTTCCTGTGTGTTGTATTCGTTTAAAGTTTAAACATGTAGCAGCACAGCTTTAGATCAAATACCTGTATCTCCACTGGTTAGAAGTAGTCAACAAGTAGTTGGTAGATTTACAGAAATAGCTTGTGTAATGAACCTGCAATGTGCAATACAAACACTTTTTTTGTTGCAAATGTACTGGGCAATAATCATCCTACCCATTTTTAGTCATGTCTGAGTACTTATTTGTCTTAATTTAGCTTGTTCTTTATATACGTTTGCTTAAAAAAACATTTCTGATTCTCAAATAATGTTCACCCTTGTAAAACACAAACACAGTGATTAGTTGTTTTATTTCCTCAATCTAATACTTCATGATATGATAACATATACAAATATTACAATTTTTCTTTTGACCGATGGTCAGAAAAATTCCTACAAAAAAGACAAATACGTCTTTTATTCTGTTAAAAATATACTTTGTAGAATGACTAAAGGGGAAATAATCCAGAGTAGCAGCCCCATTCTCAACATTGATTGACTCCCATCAGTTGTTTGTGTTTAGCATGATGCCAGCAATTGATTTCATGTTTTGTGCTGAAAATGTGTCACTGAGCCACATTTCTGTGGAATGCTGATATTTTATCTAAAAGAATATCATAATTTTCAGTATTGGTTTTGTGTAGGTGAATCTAAAGGCACCAGTAATGACCACAGGCAATGACTCTTCAGTTCTTAAAGGTAGTGTACACTGTCTTTGTTTTACTACAGTTAATTCAAGCCAAAATGTTTGCGTTATTGTGCAAATCTATAACTCTGTTCAATGTGTCTGCAGATGTTGTTGCCTATGTTGATGTTTGGTCGTCAGACAAAACCGCAAACTATTCAAAACCATTTGTTCAGCAGCTGCAGGAAATGGGAGCTGAGGTGAGACAGCATGACACATAAACACATTTGCACTTTATTGATACCAATGACCTAATAACACACATAATATAAATGCCTTTTCTTTTACAGATACCAAAAACATTCAATAAACAAGTCACACATGTAGTCTTCAACAACGGTCACCCGGCTACATGGAGAAATGCAAAGAAAAGTGATGTGAGGCTCGTCTCTGTGCTCTGGGTCGGCAGGTAAGACTAACACTGAGAGTTGTGTATTTCTTTTTTATTTTAACACATTTTAAGTTAATTTTGTTTTATTGTCATGAAGTATTACAAAAGTTTTTGTTATTTTATTCATGTCTTGAATCTGTTAAAAAATGTTTTCTGTTTTATTGTGTTGCACTGTTGGAGGAGCCTGTGACCTAAGATTTTCATCGTCATAACTACGCTGTAGCTATGCACGTATGACCAATAAAAGCCTTGAAACCTTGATGGCCTATTTTTTTGTGTTTTTATCCCAGATGTTACGATGACGGTGTGCGTGCGGATGAGACGTTGTATCCAGCCTTTCATGATGAAAGCAATCCCGTGTTGAAGAACAAGAAAGTGAGCAGATTCAGATTTACATGACATCTTTTTGCTGGACCACTGTTGTCAAGTTGTGCAGATGTCACTGGTTTTATTTTTCATACACAATTCAAAAGCTACTGTTTGCCTTTTATTCTGTTCCACCTCTTTTTACACTTCACATAACTTACCCATAATAAAGAATCCAATCCAATTATATAATAATAACTAGGTTTACATTACATACAGTTGCTAATTCTCCTTTTCTGCATAAAATAAGCTTGTGTTATTGAATGAATCAAATTGAAGCCCCTATTTTGTCTCCTTTCAACTAATGAAACCTGTTGTGTCAAACATTCCAAAGCAAAGTCAGAACATCATGGCCTTTTCATTTAAAGTGATTTTGACCTTAAAACTATTTAAATGTGCATTTGTTTACTCAAAACCTTTTTTGTGTTTGATTCCCAAAGCATCGTTCCATGCAGCCAAAAGATTCTCCAGAGAGGACACCGGAGAACAACACACGCATGAAGAAAAAATTAGACAAGATGATGAAAGACATTGTTACAAGACAACCTCTGGGTAAGAGATTACACACTTAAAGAAACTATAAGAAGCAAAATGAAAAACTTCATCCTTTGTTTTGTATTTACCCACAGAAATAGATTATTCGCCCATAATAATTGATCAAGAGAATGGAATATTCTATAGCCCTGCACTCAAAAGATCTGACTATATGGCACAGCGTTTGAAAGACATGAAAGAGAAACGGGAAAACATCTCACCCACAGGTATGTGCAGTAGGGATCGACCGATATGGCTTTTTCAAGGCCGATACCGATTATTAGTAATCAAGGAGACCGATAACCGATATTTGGAACCGATATACATTTGCAGTAAAATCAGAAAATCTTGGTGTCAATATGTAGAATAACACAAACTCCAACACAACTCAACACAACTTCTTTGAAATGCATTTAAGCATATATTATGTTTAATGAACTTTTAAACATCTTACAACTGGTTTCCTCTCTGTGCCCTTTTCTTTAGTGCAGCCATCTGCAATGAGTTAGAGAGAGAGACAAGAAGTGGGGCTGCAGGCTGACATGTTTAACTAACAATAATGCTTAATTTATTATATCTGTCTATCTAGCATACAATCCCAATAAGCTGCTAGCAACTGCAAAACACTAGTGCTAGCTAATGTTTTGCAAACTATTAAAAGTGAGGCTCTTACAGTAGACCTAACGTTAGTCTAGTAGCCTCACTTCTAATATTTTGCTAAACATTTGCTAGATACATGTTGGCAAGCTAATGAGCTTCACATATCAACCTGAAAAACTGCGAGGCTCCACTCGCAGCCCCTCCCACCACAGTTACTGTGCTGCGAGACACTGCACGCACCCCCAACTCTGACTGACTTCCCGCGTCCTTGTGTAACTGGGAAACTGATAGAATTGGATCATAAGATCGTGGTGTTTTTGCAACTTCAGCATAGGGGATAGGGATGTTTATTGAACTTCTTTTTAACACATGTATGGCTCTGCCGCTCTGCGCTGCTGCTTGCTTCAGTCTGTGTCTGCGTTCTTTCGCACCTGCCTGTAATCTGAGAAGGTCCCGCCTCTCTGGCTCCCGCCCGGAAAATCTTCAGTAATAGCCTATCAGATAGCGCTGTGGGCGGGACATTGCTCGTGTACACAGAGTGGTGACTGCAGCCAGAGAAACGGCCGCATCAGAGCCAAAGTTTTATCGGCAATTTGATAAAAAAAAAGGCCGATACCGATAATCGGTCAAATGCGGAATATCGCCCCCTAATGTGCAGCGCTAGTTTTTCAATGCAAATAAGATCACATGGTCTCTCAAATGTGAGTACTTTTGAAACAACAGAAATTCACATGTTCACTGTCTTTCAGCTTCACAAATGGGTGAATCCTGCCCACCATCTGGGCTGAAGCCGTCTCTTGGAAGCACACCAGCCGTCTTCAAATTCAAGTGTAAGAACATTTACTGTTACTGTTCACTGTTACTGTTTACATTTTTTCCAAACCCCAAGATTCATTTCTAAATTTCGAAGCTTCTAAAATAAGGAGCTGAATGTTCAAAAACGTTTAAACATAGTACGACAGACCTAAGTGTCCTTGACCCCTTTGTCTCTTTATCTTTGAATACGAGCAGCTCTTTATCTGCCTCTTGGTAATTATGTCTCTTCACAATTTGTAAAGTGAAGAACAATGTGAAGTTGGAGCAGCGTGCGGTTGGGTTATATTGTTGGGGTCATTGAGGGCCTTTTGAAAATCCTGATTAACACCCAAAAATGACGATCAGAGAGTGGCTTAATGATGCACAAAACCTTTAGTTATTTCTGTTTTTTCCTATTAGGTGACCTGTCTGATGACAAGCCTGCTTACTCGCCTGATAAGGAAGAAGGGAGAACACACATAGAGGTTACTGACCATGACCATCTTGAACAATGCCAACGCCATAATGTGCT